TGCAGTGGCCGGGAGCGGCCACTGCACTCTAGTCTGGGTGACAGAGTGAGACTCCAACTCTAAAAAAATAAAAAATAAAAATAAATAAATTGGCAGAAGCATGCACTGGAGAGGGAGAAAAGGATTATCTTTCTCTTATGCAGAATTCAGTGAGAGTGGAACTTCCTGATGCTGTGGCATGATACATTTATTTTGGGATTTGTTGTTGTCTAAGCTTCTATGCTGAGAAGAGCTGTGATAAACACTGATATCCTCAATTCAGGAAGGCAGTCCCTTTCTGATGTTGTTTCAGAATGTGTATGCAAATTTAGAAACAAAAGTTTCTTAGTAACTTATCGCTGAAACTGAAATGATACAGTATTTGCCATTTATTTTATCTTTGCCCAGTATATGTTTTAACTCTGTCTTTGTAGTACCTCTAAAGGTTTTTGGTTTTTGTTTTGTTTACGAGACACTGTCTCCTTTTGTTGCCCAGGCTAGAGTGCAGTGGCACGATCATAGCTCACTGCAACCTGGATCTCTTGGGCTCAATCCGTCTTCCTGAGTAGCTGCAACTATGGGCATGAGCCTCCAGGCCCAACTAACTTTTTATTTTAAGAGATGGCTGTCTCACATTGTTGCCCAGGCTGGTCTTGCACTCCTCGGCTCAAATGATCCTCCCACCTCGGCCTCCCAAAGTGTTAGAACTACAGGCATGAGCCACCATGCCCAGCCTAAAGTTTTCCTGTGGCGATTTATTCTTTTCCAAGAGTTTTACTTTCTGAAAATTTACTACATAAAGACTTTTGTGTGAGGGAAAACATAAAATTGCTTGCTGAAGCCAATTTTCCTAACATTTATCTTACCTCATATGAGCTGTCAGGCAAACTCAGCCTTCTGAAATACAGTAAAGAACCCAGAAGTAAATAAAATGATTTCTAAAGAATTTTTCACAGCCTGGCAGGAAAGCACATTTAATAAGAAGTAAACCCTCATTTTGCTCTGCCCAGCACATGCTCACGCTTACTTTGCACACAATTCTAATAGTTGTTATGCTAGTTTTTCATCCCACAGAAAATAAAAGAGAGTTGTCTTAAAAGAAAAACTTAAGACAAAATATATTTAACAGTTTCTCTGAGCACTAAAGGATTCCTGAATTGGACCGCACTCCAAACGGGAAGATGTTCAAAGAACTCACTACTGCAGCGTGAACAGTGCACTGGCTTTTAGGGGCTAACATGGAAGCAAGGTAAAGAAATTACTCGCAGGGCTACAGCTGGTATTTGTCTTATTTGGGAATAATTCAGTGGAAGGCCCCTGGTTAGAGGCTTGCTGGTGGTTTCTGATGGGTCAGGTTAAAGTGTTTTACGTTGAATTAGGTTTTGATTTGCTTACATAGGGGAATCTAAGGTGCTGGTGCTGGCTC